ACACTCACGGGATCTATGTCCTCTCTCCTAGAAATTGAGTGGGTTTTTGTAACTGTTTAAGATCAATAAAGTGCAGTGGAAGTGACATATGTGCCACTCAAGTGTAGGTCATAAACGTTAATGCAGTTTCTGCTTTGCTCTCGGGAATACTCACTCTTGACAACTTCAGCTGCCAGTATGCAGCCTAACTGCCCCGAGGCCACGGGGAGTCTAGTAGGAATGCCAAATTAACTCCCCAGGAGACCACGGGGAGAGACCCTGGGACTGCAGAAAGAGGTGTCTGAGCGGCCTCTAGCTGCCTCAGCCTCCCCTCTTCCCACTGTTCCAGCTCTAGCTACCAGCTGCTGGATGTTGTTTTAAGCAATTATACTTGGGCTGACTTATTTTATGTAAAAGAGCAACAGTCTCTCTCCTTTCCAGTTGCCACCTTCTTCTAAAGTGCTAGGTTCCTATTCTGATCTGGTCTCAAAAAATGAAGTGGCTCAATGACTGAGACACGGGAACCAGACGTAGGGGACGTGTATATTAGAATGTAGTATCTGAGCACAGACCCACTGATTCTACCATTGTCCCCAGAGCTTCCCCGTTGTTGCTGTGTCCAATGAAACCTTAGCCCTCCTTTGCGTAAGAATGGCTGTCTTCTCCCCGCACAGAACCTTAACAGACAAAAACTGTGCAAAATAAGCCTTATTTAAATTACCGTGATGGCAAGGGCCCAGGTTTTAGATGCAAAAGAGTTGTCTTTGGGTTTGTGCCTCACTGCTTGGTTTTCGTCACAGAAAGGAATCACCATCCTTTTGAGCCTCGGTTTTTCCTCTCCGAGCTGGAAACACTCTCTCTCATATGTACTTCCCCATGTCATTGAGAGACCCATATGTGATAGCATATTTGAAAAAAAATGTTGTGAATTGTAAAACAGTGACCAAAAATAAAAGATTATCAACATCACCATCACCAATAAGTTATTCGTCTGCTTTAATTTCCTCATCTGCAACGAGGGAACAATATACCACCGCTTTCCTCTTACTCTCACCAAAACTCTGCTATAAACATTGGCAATAATATATAAAGTCACTCAGATTGGGGTATGGGAGAGGAGAGATCAGGGTTGAATATGTAAAGTCAAATACTGGGTCCCTAGTTAACAAGTACACATTGACTGGCCACTCCATATAGGCACTAAGCTAAGATTCCGGGCATACTGCAATCAAGAAGTGGTCCTTGCTCTCAAGGAGATTACTGTCTAGAAGAACATTATAAACATGTATGAAGTCTATTTCAATACAGTTTATTAAGAGGTCAAATCAGAGAGAGCAACCAAGGTGGGCTCAGGCCTCATGGGTGGTAATGTAGCACTGTGGTGAGAAGCACGGAGTCTTACCCAACTGCTTGGGTCTGAATCCTGGTCATACCACTTACTGCTGTATGACCTTGGGAGTTATTAAGATCACTTACCTCAGTTTCCTTATGAGTAAAAAGAGAATAATAACCTTAAAGAATCGTGAAAGGACTTCATAAGGCAATGCATGTAAAGCATTTATCACCATGTCTAGAACAGAGTAAACACTCAAAAGTATGAAGTATTATTATTATTAGATGGTGCTGTGGAGCCTATATAATGTGGAGCCCATAGTTTTATAGGGGGAAATCAGGGAAGGCTTCCTAGAGGCAGGGACATCTTACCTGAGATCTGAAGTATGATAGGAATTAGCAAGTCAAGGGACAAGGTATTGTGAGTGAGGTGAGTATATATCAGAAAGAACATCCAGATTCTTTAAAGCAGTGCTTTCTCAGACTTTCATGTGCATAAAAATCATGTAGGAATCTTATAAAGTGCAGATTCTCATTCAGTAGCTCTGGAGTAGAACATTTCTAACAAAGTTCGCAGGAAATGCTGACGAAGCTGGTATTTGTTCTACACTTTCACTCAGTAGTAAGGTCTAACTGGGTACAAAAATCTCAAGAGGAAACTACGAGCTATTTAAGAATAGCTGGCATTGTCCTGACTGGTGTGGTTCAGTTGGTTGGGCATTGTCTTGCAAAGCAAAAGGCTGCCAATTTGATTCCTGGTCAGGGCACATGCACAGGTTGCAGGTTCTGTGTCCGGTTGAAGTGTGCACAAGAGGCAACCAATTGTTGTTTCTCTCTCACATTGTTGTTTCTCTCCTTCTCATTCCCTTCCCTTTCCCCTCTCTCCTAAAAAAAAAATAGCTGACACAAAAATTTTAAGAAATGAGGACTAAATGAGGGTTAGGGGCTACTGTGTTAGGGTAGAGACAGAGTAGGAGAGATGAGATTTGCTATGCTGATCCCTACCTAAGGGGCTAAAACACAAAGGGACTTACAAGTGAAGAAAAGAAAAAGAAATTTAGAACAGCAAAGAGGGTTTTACCAGGAAGGTGGAAAAATGGGTTGGAGGAGATCCCCACTAGAAAAAAGGAGACTGACTAGGAGGCTTTTTCTGTTAACAGAAGGTGAAAAATTATAGTGGTCTGAACTAGGTGGTCTTGCAGATGGAGAGCAGAGGAATTCAAGACCTATTAGAAGATACAATCAACAATTTGGTGATGGATTTGCTTTAGGGATGAGGGGATGTAGAACACAAGAAAGATAGGGCAGGAGGTTATCAGGTTTATTTCAGCTGCCTACAGTCCACATATAATAACAAAGCACATGAAGAATAGCTGCTCATCAATGATACATATATGCAGAGTCTTCTCAATCATAGATGTTCCTGCTACTTCTGGCAATTGTTAACCTGTTTTATTCAAACTACCTTCAAACTGCCTCAATTTTTACTAACTATGCAAGGCATAGTCGAGAAACACAAAACCAGGAAAGTAAATCTGTACTTCAAAATTTAGTACCTCCTTAATTTTTTCATGCTTTGTGGGGTGTGTTGGCTTTCCCAAACAAGGTATTATTTTGAGGGCAAGGGCAGTGTCAAAACTATTGTCTCCCTTCCCCACAGTGCTGATTACCAAGCAGGCACTTAATATGTGCTAGTTAATTATTTGATAGAATAACATCTAGATGATTAGATATCAATATAAGTTATCTCATAAAATGATAAAAATAATTACACCTTTAAAATTTTTTTTACATGCATTATAAATGCCATAATCTTCTGTGGTTCATCCAAATCCTCTGAGACCTTATATGCAGGAAGTTTGTACGATAACTTATTTAATTATAGTTTCGTTGAATAATTTTTAATAGAATGGAGGCCTATCTTATTACTGTCAGACTCTACTGCCATCTACTGTTCATGCAGTAAGTTACCATGAACAGTATTGTGCGCCCCAACATCTCTATTCTTCACTATTCAATGTTTCCTTCAAATCTCAAGGGCTTTCTGTGCTTTGAGTTTCCACCCAGAGTAGATATAACTTTCTAATAGTGTCCAGTATTTTTATAACAATTCAGCATAATTTTAAATTCAGACAATTTTCTCTCATGGGCAAAAAGAGTTTATGCACTTATGGAATATTAAACATTTTAAAATTTAATGGCACAATGATATTTTCATAGGCTTATCCTCCCCCCCAAAAAACTAAGAAAAAGGTAATTAAATTTCTGAAGAATTTTTCCTTATCTCTAGTAGACATCATTAAACTGAACATCTATCTTGGTTAGACTCCATTTAGGGTATAAATCTTACTCATTGTTCAAGATCTTCCTTTCAAATGATACCTTCTCCATAACACTGTCCCTGATTCTTCATTCTGGAATAAATTCTTCCTTCCACAATTGGTAATTGTAATAATGAACCACATAGTGGAAGGACAACAAAAATTCCATTAAAAAACAAATAGCTTTATAAGTCACTTCCTGTTATTCCCTCCTCTGTTGGTTACCGTTTTTCTTTTGCAAATATAATAAAACAGGGCTCTCAGTTGTAACGATCTTTACGATGTTGATCTAAGAACCAAACATTTTCGAAAGGGAAGGGCAAAAGCAGACACACGTGTTTGATAATCTGATAAAATTTGAGGCAGTTTGTCTTTGCTATGAGACTTTAGCCAATTTGCTATGCTAGATGGGGAGGATTTCAAAAGTTACTTAAGTGACAATGGATCAGGACAAAACTTGCATATCTCACCTCTAATTCCCTATTTTAGAATGAGAAAATGCCAGTTTAAAAGAGTTGGGGAGGCACCAAGGAAGAAGTATTTGAGTAACTTTCTGGCAAAATTTAGGTTTCTGGGAAGTTTGGCTGGGTTGTATTTAATGGGGAGGCTGTGCGGTGGTGATCAAAGCCCTAATGCTTTGGATTTCCTGGATCTACAGTACACACTAGTCTGTGCTACAAACTGATTGTTTTAGCAAGTCACTTGAGCTTCCTCGCAGGACAGAATCACTTCCTCCTCTGTGCATTGTACGTTATTTATACCTAGGCCCCTCTCGTAGGTCTTCGGATGCTTTTCCTTTCTTATTCAAGGCCACAACACCTTGGCGCCGCGTTCTCTGTAAGTCTGCAATGTCCTGCCCTTACATATGGCGTCTTCTCTGGGGTCTTCTCTGGTGTCATAGTCGCTGATTCGATCCCACATTTGGCAATCTCTTCATGGAGAATGGATGAAAATCGCCACTATTGTTGGCTGCCCCACGCTTGCAAGGGCCCTTAGAGAGCTTATTACTGAAAGGAAGGGGGAGAGGAGAGGAACCTCCTCTCGTCGTCCCACGTTTCCCGGCTTTTTCATATACGGAATATTTGAAGGAGGTGAGGGATACAGTAGTGGACCTGAAACGGAGCTTTTTCCTGGTGGGAACACAAATCTGCGACTTTGGCTGTGCTTCCGGATCCAGGTGGGGACCGACTTCCGGCTCTGACTTCCGGTCTCCAGAGTTTCGAGTTCCGCAGCTTCCGCCCGGAGTTGCCCTAGGCTCCGGCTAGGAGCAGCTACTTCCGCCAGCAGTCCCTAGCTGCTGGGACTTGGAAACTGGTCCTAAAACGGCCTCGCCCTTTTCCCTTCAGCCAGCCCGCCCTCACCGGGTCCCCAGGTGGTGGCGGTGGCTACTGGGCCTGTCACGGAGCGTTCTCTGGCCGAGTCCTGGGTCTGCGGGGAACCAGGAGGTGCGGGAGAAACGCCCTTGTCTGGCCGAGTCCCAGGCTTCCCGTAACAGCCAGTGACAGAGGCCACAGGCCTCGCCGAGCCCACCCTGTCCTGGGGCGGGGCCCGGCCTCCCCGCCCCGGACCACGCCCCTCCGGCCTGCCCTGAGCCAGGTCAGTTTCTTCAGCCCTGCGGCGGTGTAACCGCCCTCGATCTCCTGGAGGCACCTGTCCCCTGGTTCCGGCCGCTGGGGAACATGGAGTTTGCGGAGCTGATTAAGACCCCACGGGTGGACAATGTGGTGCTTCACCGACCTTTTTATCCGGCCGTTGAAGGAACCTTGTGTCTGACTGGCCACCACCTGATCCTGTCCTCTCGGCAGGACAACACGGAGGAGTTGTGGCTCCTCCATTCAAACATCGACGCCATCGACAAGCGGTGAGTGCTCATCCCACCCCCTATTCTGCAGGGAACCTGGGGTCCTTAGGTGGACCCCTGGGGAAACGCGTCCCAGTGTTTTCCTTTTGTCCAAACCAGCAGAATGAACCCTGTCTGGCCTTGACTGAAGATTTGAGTTTTTGAAAGCAGAAAACCACTCATAGGAAATCCCCTGGTTTCTAGTACTAGTCTGGATGGAATTCCCGGGGTTATCATCATCCTGATTATCATTTTCGGTACATAACAGTATTTCAGTAGATTTTCTTTTGCATTTTCTTCTCCTTGCACCATGATATTCCTTGAATAATAATTGTCCATCACATTCATGAAGTTGTGATTCAATGCGATTTAGGTTAAGTCTTTATTTGCCACCTTTGAGGAAGACTCAACTCAGTATGTACTGTCTAAATCCCATAAAACCCGTTTTCTCCCCTCAAAGAAATGATCACATTTCTCCTTATTTCTTACTTTTCATGTCACCCTTTTAATACTTCCCACTATGGGAGATAATAATCTCTTTTACCTCTCTTCACTCAATTCTGCTTTTGGAAAGAACAGAGTTGGCCCTTAAGCAAAGGTGTTAATTAACCTCTTTTTTTGTACCTAGGCTCTGTCTTTCCAAGGCAGTATTTCAGAGTCAAAAAAAGGTTATAGTTCATCTGCAGTCAAAATTCCCATTTCCCCAATGGCTGTGTACTCACTCTAGGCAGGAGAAGGTAAATTGATTATCCAATTTATACTAACATGTAAATGAATGACAGTAGCTTTACCTATTATCTCTCAAGAAAATTTGATACTGAGAAGATTCCTAAAGAGGTTATGCCTTCAAAGAAAGTAATTTCTAATGGTAGAATTTGAAAGAGTATGGGTGAAGTGGTAATAGATTTTTTTTTTTTTAACAGAGGGCTCCTATGAAACTCCTCATATTACCTCATAGGTAAAGGTTTTCAGTGTTGTGTCCTTGCCTGCATAATAAAGTCTAAACCCCGTAGTCTGTCATTCATGGCACTCCATGTTGTTCTGTCACCAACCTACTCTTCCCACCCTAGGTCATGACTTTCCCTTTCATGAACTTTTTTTTTTACTAGCCAGTTTTTGCTGTTTTTGCTCATTCATGTCTTGCATTCTCTCATGTCTATATTGTGCTGACACCAAAGGAAGTAGAGGGAGTACCTTGCTCCTCCCAAGTTTCTTAAACATTGAAGGCATTATATTGCAGATATTTTGTGAGGCATTGAGGACACCAAGATGGATAAAATATATTTGTTGCAGGAGTTTATAGACTATCATCCAACTGTTAGCAATCTATCAATGTTCAGTATAACCATTTCAACTGCCATCTCTTTCACAGTTCTTCTGTTAATCCCACAGCCAGAAGTAATTCCCCTCACCTTGAAATCCTATAGCTTTTTAATTATGTCTCTTTCATAAATATATATTAAAATTTGTATTTAGATGACTACATATATTTTAGCCCCTTGACACCAGGATGCACATTTCATTAATTTTTATCTCCTTCAAAACGTGTAACTGTGGCTTGGGCAGATAGGCACATAGGAAATAAAAGAAGGCTTGACCACTGAATGGCCAGTGGTGCCACTGAATACAAATCAGAGTCTCTCCATGCCATTAACTCTCTTTTCTTTCTTATTTACTTTGTGTGGTTGCTTTTCAGTCTTTCATTTCATCATATCTACCTAGCATTTATTACATGCTGGGCCTGGTAGGGCTTAAGGAAGTGTATAGAACATGGGCCTTGTAATCTCTTCGGTGGTAAATGACAAACCGTACATGCTTTTGTCTTTCTCCTAGGGAGCAGCATGTTGGAAAGAGCATGACGTAGGTGGTCAAATCATTAGTTGTTTGTTGCTTCCAAGAAATATTTACTTCCATGTGTCTTCTGTGTACTGCACTGTCAGGGCTCTGCTGATGCAGTGGTGACTAAGACGGATGAGGAGCTTATGTACCGGAGGAGCTGGACATTCAGATAAATCAACAAATAAGTGCCAGGGAGGAAGATAAAGGAGGATGGGAGGATAGAGAATGCCAGGAAGACAAGTGACATTCAAATGAATGCCATCTCAGTGAAGGGAGGAAGCTAACAATGTAAATATCAGAGAAAAGCATTTCAGCCAGGGAACAGTGAGGACAAAGCCTGAAAGAGAAACACTGGCATGTACAAGGAAAAACAAAGGCCAGTGTGGCTGGAGGGCAGTGAGCAAGGGGTAGAAGCTATGCGGACAGCAGAAACTGTGGCTGGAGGGATAAGCAGGGGCCCAATCTTCCAGGGCCTTATATACCATGGTGATGGTTTTCATGGGAAGGCCTTGAAGCGTTCAAAGCAAGGAAGTAGCAGTAGATAGACTTTTTAGGAGATGATTCTGGTCGCCGGCAGAAAATGAATTCTAGAGAATCATGAGCGGAAGCAACAGGCCCAAGTAGGCCTGTTGAGTAGCTCAAGCAAAAGGTGATGTGACCTGGAGTAGTAGTAGAGAAGCAGTCAGATTGGGGATATATTTCGAAGGCTGAGCTACCCTGCCTTGCTGGTGAATTATACATGGGGTGTGCAAAGAAGAACAGTATTAAGGATGACTCTTTCAGTTTGCCTCTTGTCAGAAAGGTGCCTTTGGACAAGGTATTTAACCTCTGTGAACCTCAGTTCTATCACATAAGGGGAAGACAACCCCTCTCATCTCAAGTGTAAATTTATATTTGAATAATGCTCTACAGGCTTATAAAAAACTTTCATTTACACTGCATACATAATTTTATTTGATCCTTTCATTAGACAAGGCTGTATACAAGTTTACAATTGTACTTGCTTTTTCTTTTTATAGACCTCACATATAGACAGTTGAGTTAACCCTACTTAGTTGATGACTCATCATTCATTACAGGGTTTTCTCAGTGTTTTGTTTTATTCTTCTTTAGCCCTAATTTTCACTCCCATTTTCTACCTCATCATCAGCCACTATAGGTAACTGTTAAGTGTTGCTGTTTGTCCTTGGAGGAGATAGATATAGATATAGATATATAGATACAGATATATATGTCCCTATAAAGTATATAGCACTGCTGTGTGTGGGTGTATGCACACATGCATGTCTGAGTTTAATTTACCTGAGTAGGATTATGTTGTAGATCTTGTTCTATCTCAGTAATCTTTTTCAAGATCTCTTCATATTGCTCTCTGTTCATCCATGTCACTGCTTCTGACTGCAGCATAGAATTCCAAAGTGTCTACAACATTTATCTGACCCTTTAGGTAATCTCCAATTCAGTCATCCCAACAACTCTGGTAAAATATACATATTCATTTGGGTCCCATTATAGTCTTGTGCAGGAGTTTCTCTGAGATTGTGCCTAAGATGGGGTGGAGCCAGAAAGTAGGTATCTAATGCATTTCACAAAGTAATGCTAGATAGCCCTCCCAGATGACTATTCTGCTTTGTCCTCCCACGTTCTTACCAACATTTGGTATTATTGTCTTCCTAATTTTTGCCATTCTGATGATTGTGAAATAGTATCTTTTTGTTTTAATTTGTATTTCTCTAATTCCTGGTGAGCTTAAGTATTTCTTTATGTATTTGTTAGCAATTCAGTTAGAAATATTTTCCTTTCTGGGAAAACTGGATGTGTTACCATGTGTTAATTTGCACCAGTTCCTTGTATACCCTCTAGTTATTAATTCTTCACTTATATGTTGCAAATGTCTTCTAGTCTCTCATCTGTTAGTTAATTTTCCTGCGGTGCCTTTTGTTGAAAAGAAGTCCTTAATTTTAATGCAGTATTTGTCAATGCTTTACTGTATGGTTTATGTTTTTAAGTCTTACTTATTTAAGAAGTCCTTTCTTATCCCAAGGTCACTAGATATTCTTCTACATTTTCTTTCATATTAGCTTTATAGTTTTAGTCTTCATTTTTAGGTCTTTAATTTGTTTGGATTCTACCTTTGTTTCAAGCGTGGTAAGTATCCAACTTTGTTTTTCTGCATGTAACATGTCTGTTTTCCTAAAATATCATCTAACAACCCATCCTTGACAGATTTATAATATATCAGGTGGTTTTATGTATTTATATGTAAAATATATGTACAGCTGTTGCTGTGTCCCATATGTTTTGTAATGTTGCATTTTTGTTTTCATTTATCTCTGAATATTTTCTGATTTCCCTTGTGACTTCTTTGATCCATTGGTTGTTTCAAAGCGTGTTGTTTAATTTTCACAATTTTGTGAATTTCTCAGTCTTTATTTTTGTTATTGATTTCTAATTTTATCTCATTGTGGTCAGAGAATATAAATACAAACCTTATTTTATTACACTTCCCAGTTGGATTACAACTCATTTTATTGCAATAGTTGCTTTATTATAGTGGTCTGGAACCAAAGTTGCAATATCTCCAAGGTATGCCTGTTGTCTGTGTCTATAACAAACACTTAATATATTAAATAGAGATTTTTTTTTTGCTATTCTTTGAAGTAAGGCCCCAAATAATCTTTGATAAATGATTTTGTCTAATATAAAGTATATTTGAAAATATTTTTTCAATATATATATTTTAAATAATTTATGGCTCACATTTTTATGATGCAGGCTTAACTCTTCCTTAATTAGACTAATTGGGGAGAAGAAAGTTGAATATAGATGGTAATTATAACTAGATTCTTTTTTCACAGAACTAATCATATGCATAAAATTAGAAATACATGTGTTCCTAAGCATAACTTATAATTTTGTACAGGTTTGTGGGACCACTGGGTACCATCATCATAAAATGTAAAGATTTTCGAATAATTCAGTTGGATATTCCTGGAATGGAGGAATGTTTGAATATAGCCAGTTCTATTGAGGTAAGTGTTTTGGAAGCAAAATGTGATGAAAATAAATAGTAATGAAAAAGAGCCTTATATTCTGACTCAGTGTAGCTCTTGTGTTTCTTCATTAGCTATTTGGTCATGTTCTGTGACTCAAATATTGAAGACTGATGGGAAAAGCTTTACCCTGATTCAATGTTATAGGAATGAAACACGATTTTATTGACACGTAGTAGTTTTTAGGGTTATTCTTCCAGGTTTATCCATATTGTAGCATGTGACAAAATTTCCTTACCATTTAAGACTAAATTATATTTCATTTATAAGATGAGCTGAACTGTCTTACATACCTGTTATTTGGAAGTAACACAGTAATGTTGATTTGGCTGAATTCGCTAACATGAATAAGAAATGCAAGTGCTTCTAGGCTGTTAAATTCAAATACAGTCCTGTTACTGGGCAGGAGAATGCTACTGACCCACTCCAGTTAAGCATGTGGTTTTTTTTTGTTTGCTTGTTTTGTTTTTTCCAGTTGTGGGGTTGGGCTGTCACTGACCTGTGCACATTTTTCTTATCCAGTTTCTAATTAGTAAGATAGCTGGTTAGTGGGCGTTAGTAAAGTTGCCTATGGTGAAGCATAGTGGTGAAGACATAGGGCAAGACTTATTAATCTACTTTGTGATTGAATTTACTTAGCTCTGTTAGCATCTGATACTACTCAGTTGTTTACTTAGCTGTAGATATTATCTAATGTTCCATAGAAATCACCTAATGATATATATAAGCCCTTACGGGTAAAAAGAGGTCATAAATTATGAGTCATCCTCATAATTTGACATCAGAATGTAAATGCTCTATTGTTTTTACAGGTTAGTAAATATACATAGTGAACTTGGCCTCTAGCCTTTACTGCCTTTCAATTCCTCTTCCCCCAATACATTTTGACATAATTTGGGAGTAATAAGTGAAATTCTTATATAGCATAGTTGAGCTCTTTGTAATCAAGAGACTAAATACCCAAATACACTCTGTTGCCACAAATAGAATCCCATTGGAAGGATAATTGGCAAATGCTCAGTTTTCTAAATTGTAGCAGGAAGTCTGATGAAGCCGTTTTCTATGTTCTTTCAACTGCCTTTTGGGGTTGAAATGTTTTTAGTTCTTCAGCATTAATGTGTTCAAAGGAAAAGTCCTATCTCTAGTGACATAAAATGTAATCGTGACAAGTGTTTATCGTCTGCCAGAGTGGTTGTTGACTTGCATTTAAAATAATAGTTGTACCAGTCACAATGGAAGACAGTATGGAGGTTCCTCAAGAGATCAAAAATAGAACTACCATAGGATCCAGCAATTCCACTTCTGAGTATATATCCAAAGAAAACAAAGTCATTATCTCAAAGAAATACCTGTACTCCTGTGTTCATAGGAGCATTATTCTTAATAGCCAAGGTCTAGAAACAGCCTAAGTGTGGACGGATGAGTGGATTAAGAGAATGAGGGTGGGGGGGATATTATTCAGCCTCAGAAAAAGAAAGTAATCCTGCCGTTTGCGACAGCATGGATGGATCTGGAAGTCATTATGCTAAGTGAAATAAGCGAGACAGAGAAAGACAAACACTGCATGGTAACACTCGTATGTGGAATCTTAAAAAGTAAAGTCAAACTCATAGAAAGAGAGAGTAGAAAAGTGGTTGCCAGGGGCTGTGCTGTGGGGAAAATAGGGATGCATCTGTAAAAGTTACAAACTTTCAGCTGTAAGCTAAATAAAGCCTGTGGATCTAATGTATAACATTGTGACTATAGTTGATAACACTGTATTGTTTAATTGAAATTAGCTAAAAGAATCAAACTTAAATGTTCTCCAAAACAACAGCAAAAGGTGATGTGAGGTGATCGTGTGTCAACTCAATGTGAGAGACAGATCCTTTCATAATGTGTATATATTATGCTGTACCCTCTAAAATAATTACAGTTTTATTTATTAGTTATATCTCAGTAAAGCTGAAATTTTTCTAAGTATTACAAAGAATATCTTAAAAATGAATGAAAGAACGAACAAACGAATGAACGGATTGTTGAACTGACCAATGACAGCTCTGGCCTACATCAGATGTGAACACTGGCTTTTCTGCTTCTGTTTGGTGTGATTGGCAGCCAAAGACAATATAGAACTAGATAATGGATTAACGAGCCTTGCTTCTCCGTATTTTTGTTCTTTGGGTTGGGGGGAAGACTTCATGGTTTATGGACAGATAGAAGAACAACTTTGAATGGTGATGTTTTTGTTAAACTGCTGAATGACATGTTCAATCTTTTTTTTAATAAATCTTGTGCCCATCCTTTTGTGTCTGATCTTTCTGTGACCAGAAGGAGGGAGCTGCCTTTAAGGGTTTGGGGTATTGGCATGCTGGTGGGCCTGCTCCTCCCTCCAGGGGTGTGCCTCCATAATTACTGCAGTTTGAATTATGCTAATTGATTTTGGTGCCTATTTGTCCAGCCATAGAAATGCTTTCCATAATTCTCCTGTCTGAAGGATTGTACTGCCATATGACATCTGTCTTTCCTCCCTTCTGGTCAGGTTTTCTGGTGGTGTCACCCAGAATTCAAGAGCTGTAGATGAATATAGGGTCATTGTGGGACTGCAGAGTTATTGCCCCAGCTTGAAAATTGGTCCGTGTAGCATAAAAATGTGCTGCTACCTGATCAAATGGCACATCACTCTAGGCAGGGAATGAACATTGATGGAGCATATATGTGGAACATGTAATAGCTAAAATTATTTCAGAGTTTATTATGTGCCAGGGCCTCCTCTAGGCCTGTTACACACACTTCTCTTAATGTTCCTAACAGCCCTGCGAGGTAGGTACTGTTATTTCCCCAGTTTCACAGCTGCAGAACCGGAGCCATAGAGTGGTTGCGTAACTTAACTAATATTGAACTGGGATCTGGAATTTGAGTCCAGCAGGCTGACTCCAGTCTGATTTTTTGGCCACTAAGCTGTGTCATCCTATTTTACAGTTATTAACAGATGCTGATTTTAAATAACTTACATATGTTTATATAGTTGATAACTAGATTTTGAGCAAAGACTTTACTGACTAACAAAACCTATTTGTTCTCTGATCTCCCAAAATATACAGACTGTTATATTAGGCTTTATTAATGATGTCAAGAAGGAGTTATTTCCTTTTTCTCCTAGAGTAAGTATGCACATTATTTAATTCTTCTGTTCATTCAGCAAATGCTAATTGAGTGTATGTCATGGTTAGATGCCAGAAGCATGGAAATTAGCTTCAGTACTCTATAATTGTATCCAGTGATAAATACAGTGTAAGAGAAATATGCCCACCATTATTTGGTCTATTTGTTTAATACCGATATGGCCATTAGAAAGTGTTCCAAATTGTGGTATGCTCCTTTATCCTTTCTTTATTTCCTTTTTACCCCCTAGGCATTGTCAACCCTGGACTCCATCACTCTGATGTACCCTTTCTTTTACCGGCCCTTGTTTGAAGTGATAGAAGATGGCTGGCATTCTTTCCTTCCTGAGCAAGAGTTTGAACTCTACTCTTCAGCTGTGAGTAACTTTTCAGAGAATTAGGGTAATGAGAAATAACTGACCACCTAACCTGACTTGCAAAAATGATCACTTTCTTTTGATGAGTAATAAGGTGCATTTGACTTACGCATGCCTTTTCTCATAAAACTGGACTCAGGGCCCCACCCTGTCCTGTTTTCTCATCTTAGCAGGGCAGTCACTTTGTCGTTGATTCTCTTAAAATATGATACCCATAACATATAGTATAGATTGAAACCACTACTAATACTTTATGGCAGCCTAAAGTTGCATTAGCTTTTTGAGAATTAAATTACTAATGAAATAACCTGAAATGCCTACATCTTTTCACATGTGTTATTAAGGGATCCTCTCCATATTTTTGTTGTTTCATTTATTTACTATTTTTGCTTAGATTTAATACTTTTTTCCTAGTAGGTGTCTCCTTTTTAGTCTGGCTAATTATTTAAGCAGTTTGTATGTCTGAATTTGTTATATTTTCGTGCAAATTTTGTAATCCAGATTTAATGAGAACATCTTTAATGCCTTGATTTGAACTGTTAACTTACTGTTGCTAGATTATAGAAATTTAAGATAATCAAAGCATGGTCTCTTCTTGTTCAAAGTTTAATGATAAACTAAGTAATCTTGTACAATAAAATAAGAGCTGGCAAAAGTACAAGCACAGGAGAAATGACATTATCAAATTTGTATTATAGGAAATCAATTCTGATGCAAAATGCTGAGAAACTGCTTAGGAGTCTACTATAATAATGTAAAGAAGATAGTTGGGTCAATAGCAGAGGAGTTATAGTGGAGGAAGACTCAGGAAGTAGAATTAAAAGGAGCTGGTGACCCTCAGCGCATGGGAGAGGTGAAACAGGCAGTGCCTCTGGGGTGATACCACTAGGATGGGAAAGACAGAAAGAGAAGTGTGTTTGATAGGGAATAAGTTGAGTTCAGCTCTGGCGATGGCAGGTTTGAAGGGCTTAGATGGTATATATATCATTGAATATGTACAAGAGATAATTTAGAGCTTATTTTAGAGATCTGTGTTAAAAATGAAAAGTTGAGAGCAATCAACATATATGCTGTGGAAACCATACGGAGAAGGCAAGGTTGCTTAGGGAATGTGTCTAAAGCGAGAAAGGGGCAAAGGATTGAACCATTTAATGGGTGAATTGAGGAAAAAGTCAAGAGAAGAATAAGTTTCAAGGAGGAGGGAGTCAGCAGTGTAGAAAGCTTCTTATTCACTGTTTGCTTCTCTCTTCTGGGCTAGAATATAAGCTGATAGAATGTAAACTTAAAAAGGGCAGGAACAATATCATTCATGTTCCCTGCTGTATTCCTAGCACATGATAGGCAAGCAGTAAATATTTGTTGAATGAATGAATGTAGGAATGTGTGTATTATGCAGGGTAGAATAAAAGGACAATAAGGCCTTCTATATATCATTAGAAATCCGCTTGAGGTAGATGTCTATCAATCTGTATTCTTTGAGTAAGATTTTTTTTTACCATCTGAAAAACTCTTTAATTATAATATTAATCAGTCCCCACTTCTCTATTGTGTCCAAAATGACATGTGGTGTTGAGACGACAGAGTATGAAGTCAGCTGTCAAGGTATCTTGTGTTACATCTTAGGTGTGTTATTGGCTGCTTGACTTTCCAGGACTCAGTTTCCATGCCTACAAAATGAAAGTGTTAAGCAAACTAATATCTAGAGTTCCTCCTACTTTTCACATGCTTTTATCCTATGATATCATGGAAAATTATTTCAGCTATTTTGTTGAAATATACATATACAGTATACTTGTACTCCCCAACCTACCACTTTAGAAATTGTATACAAAAAAGTGATAAGAAGATTCTGCGTCTGGTAATGGATGGGTTCACCCCCTATCTGACAAGCCCTCCTGCAGATATCAATGACAAACTATCAATAAAATACAGAAAAAACTACTACCTGAAGTCTCTGGTAAGTGAAGAAAGCAGCACATTTTGGAGGGAAGTCAAAATTTAGAGAAAGTGAATGGCATAGTGCGTTTCCTGTTAGGGGGCTTTGTCCTGAGGTCAGCGCAGTTGTGCCATTGATTTCATGGAACAGCTAATGTTCCAATACAAAGCCTGCTTTCTCTGGAAAGCTGCCAGATAAAAACGTATTACATATACAGAAATAAAAATTCAGATGACTCTGACTATTCATTAGAAATCATGGTGACCAGAGCACAAAACTTTTAAAGTGCTGAAAGAAATAAAATCTGCCAACCTTGAATTCTGTATCTGGTGAGAATTTCATTCACGAATGAGAGTAAGAGCATTTTCAGATAAAAGGAAACTAAGAATTTGTCAGCACAAGACTTGCAATATAAGAAATGTTAAAGGAAGTTCTTCAGACTAAAGCGAAATAATACTAGAGGAAAACTTGAATATTCAGAAGGATTGAAGAACTTTGGAAATGGTAAACATCTCGGTAAACATAACAGGCTATTTTTTTTCTTTTTACTGTCTTTAAAATATGTGTGACTATTTAAAGAAAAAAAAACTACGGCATTGCCTTTGTGGTATATTCCATATTATATATGGAAACTATAGCGTTAAATGCGACTGGGTATGGGGTGGCTGAATGAATAGTTTCAAGGTTTTTACATTTTATGTAATGTGAGTAACATTTAAAGATACATATTATAATCATAAATCAGGGTTTTTCAACCTGGACACTGTTGACACTTGGGCTTGATAATTCTTTGTTGTGAGAAGCTGTCCTGTGCGTTGTAGGATGTTTGGCAGCATCCCTGGCACCACTAGATGCCAGTAGCATTCTTCTCCTCCACTCTCAGTTGTTTCTAGATCTTGACAAATGTTCCCTTGGGGCAAAATTACCCCTAGCTGAGAATCATTGTCCTGGAGCAATCAGTTCTTTAAAAATGTGAAGAGGTATAATTTAAAAATTAATATATACATTAAAATACAATTCTGAAAAATATGTAAATAATCCAAAAGAAGGTGGGAAAGAAAAAATATTAATAAAAACTGAAAGGCCCTGACTGGTGTGGCTCAGTGGGTTGGGTGTTTTCTGCAAAGCAAAACGTCTCTGGTTGGATCCTGATCTGGACCCATGCCTGGGTTCTTGGCCAGGTTCCTGGTTGGGGGCGTGTGAGAAGCAACCAATCAATGTTTCTCTACCTCTCGTTCTCCCTCCATTTCCTTCTCTCTAAAAATAAATACATAAAATCTTTAAGATTTTTTTTAAAAGCCTGAAGGAATAAGCAGAAAATAAATGCTACATGGAAATCCAGCCATATCAATAATTATTTTAATATTGATGAACTACACGTTCCAATTAAAAGTCAGAGATTGTCAGAATAAATTAAAGGAAAAAGACCCAAATATATGCTATATACAAGAGGTTTATTTTGAACTGATAAGTTGAAAGTAAAGGGATGGAAAAAATATACCATGAATATTTTAATAAGCATTAAAAAGTTGAAGTAGCTGTATTAACCCCTGATTTTTTTTTAAAAAAAGACTTCAAGATACAGAGTATTATCAATTAATGGAGCCATTTCATAATAAAATTCATCATACAGATAAAACTATATATATATGCCTAATAGCAAAAATTGATGGAATAGAAGGAAGAAATAAGCCATTGTACAATTGTGGTGGGAGATTGTTAAAACTGCCCTCTCAGCAAGTAATATAATAACTAGACTAAAATAAAACAACAATAAAACAAGTAAAGACATAGGTCTGAACAACACTGTCTGATATTTATAGCCTGATACTCTCAATTGCTTCAGAATAAATAATATTCAAGAATTCATGAGAAAACATATGCTGGGCCATTAAGTAAATTTTAAATTTTCAAGGATTGAAACCATACAGAACATAATCTCTGACCACAAAGGGGTGAAATAAAAGTCAATAACACTAAGGTATATAGGAATACCCAGAGTATTTCTAAATTAAACAAAATACTTGTAAGTAATCTATGTGTCAAAGATAAAATCATAGAGAAAATATTTTGAACTGAATAATGAAAATAACCAAATTTGTGGAATACAGCTAAAGCAATGTTTAAAGAGAAACTTACAGAGCTAAAGTGCTTATGACATAAAGACGAAAGGTCTCAAATTACCAATTTAAGTTCCCAAATTAAGAAGGTGAGGGGGGAAGAGTAAAATAATTGGGAAGGATGAAATAATAAGAATAGCAGAAATCAATAAAATAACTAGAACTAATAAGCAAGTTTAGCAAGGTTGCTCGATACAAGTATACAAAAACTAATTGTATTGGCAACAATACAATTATTGGCGATTGGCAACAAGCAATCTGAAAATAAATAACATATTTAGGAATAAATTTAACAAAAGAAGTGCAGGATATGTACACTGAGTACCACAAAACATTGCTGCGAGAAGTTAAAGGATATCTAAATAAATGGAGAGATATACCATGTTCATGGATTGGAGGACAATGTGTAAGATCAGCAGTGGGGTGACTTATGTAAAGGAGCAGATAATAAGCCTTTTAGGTTTTGTGGGTCATGCAGTCTGTTACAACTACTCCACTCTACTGTTATAGCATGAAGACAGCAATGATAATACACTAATGAGTGAGTGGCGCTATGTTGGGCTGGATTTGGCTTGAGGACTCTAGTTGGCCGACTCTACTAAGATGACTATTTTCTCTAAATTGATTTATAGATGCAATGGAACGTTTTTCAAAATTCCAATAGAGATTTTTGTAGAAATTTTAGGACAGGGTTATTCTAAAATTTATATGGAAATACAAAGTTACCAGAATAGACAAAACAACTTTGAAAAAATAGTTAAAGGATTTACAGTTACTTGATTTCAAAACTTACTGTAAAGCTACAGTAATCAAGAGAGTGTGGTATTGCCATAATAACAGACATATAGATCAATGGAATAAAATAAGGGGTCCATGAAAAAAATGCAATAAAAAAATAAAGATATAGAGGAAAAAATAAAATAAGAGGGTCCAGAAATAATCTC